AAAATAGTTTCTTTATTTATAGCAAGAATTTCTATAAATAAATTTTAAAAATATTTTTCATTTTAATATAATACAAAAATACCTTATGAACATTATTATATTAACAATTAATTAAGACATGAACTTATCACTAATACTTTTTTTAATAGGAATCCTGGGTTTCGTATTAAATAGAAAAAATATAATTTTAATGCTTATTTCTATAGAAATAATGCTATTATCCATAACATTTTTAATATTAGTTAGTTCACTTAATTTTGATGATATATTAGGCCAAACGTTTGCTATATTTATAATATCAGTAGCTGCGGCCGAAACTGCTATAGGTTTAGGTATATTAGTAGCTTTTTACAGATTAAGAGGATCAATTGCGATAGAGTATAGCTAATGTATTTGTCTATAATAATTTTACCCTTACTAGCTTCAGTAGCATCCGGTTTTTTTGGTAGAAAAATTGGAATTACAGGTGCCCAAATAATAACTACTAGTAGTGTAATATTAATAACAGCACTATCATCAGTGGCATTTTTTGAGGTAGGTTTTAATAACATACCTGTAAATATAAAATTATTTAAATGAATTAATTCAGAATCTCTTAATATTATGTGAGATTTCAATTTTGATAGTTTAACAGTATCTATGTTAATACCTGTTTTAATAGTATCTTCTTTAGTACATTTATATTCAATAGGCTATATGAGTCATGATCCTCATAATCAAAGATTTTTTAGTTATTTAAGCTTATTTACTTTTATGATGGTAATATTAGTTACAGCTAATAATTTTTTATTAATGTTTGTTGGTTGAGAAGGAGTAGGTATATGTTCTTATTTGCTCGTAAATTTTTGATACACAAGAATAGCAGCAAATCAGAGTTCTATTTCCGCTTTATTAACTAATAGAGTTGGTGATTGTTTTCTGACTATAGGTATGTTTGCTATTTTATGATCATATGGTAACATAGATTATTCAACTGTATTTTCTTTATCACCTTTTATGAATGAAAATATAATTACTTTAATAGGTATCTGCTTGTTAATAGGGGCTATGGCCAAAAGTTCTCAAATTGGATTACATGTTTGACTACCTATGGCTATGGAAGGTCCTACTCCCGTTTCTGCTTTAATACACGCAGCTACTATGGTTACCGCTGGAGTATATTTATTGATACGTACATCTCCTTTAATAGAATATAGTTCTATCGTGTTATTATTAGCTCTATGAATAGGAGCTTTTACTACCGTATTTAGTTCTTTAATAGGTTTATTTCAACAAGATATAAAAAAAGTTATAGCTTATTCTACAATGAGTCAATTAGGAATGATGGTTATAGCTGTAGGTTTGTCCTCATATTATGTAGCTATATTCCATTTAATGAATCATGCATTTTATAAAGCATTATTGTTTTTAGGGGCTGGTTCTGTTATACATGCAGTTTCTGATAATCAAGATTTTAGAAAATATGGAGGATTAAAATCTTTTTTACCTTTAACGTATTCAGTTATGTTAATAGCGTCTTTAAGTTTAGTAGCGTTTCCTTTTATGACTGGTTTCTATTCTAAAGACTTTATAATAGAATCAAGTTATGGTAAATTTTCTTTTTCTAGTATAACTGTATATTTTATATCTACAATAGCAGCTATGTTTACTACTTTATATTCTGTTAAGGTATTATATTTAACTTTTTTA